CAGAATCTTAGGCTCTACTCTAGACAGACTAGTTCAAGATGTACATGCTAATAAGATTTCTAGATTATTTGTATAGCTATTACAGTTTGGGAAGCACCATTCTTGGTGTTGCCCCTAGGGAGTCAAATATTATTATTATTATTATTGGTGTTACTTTGTGTCCTTAAATACCTTTAAGTTATTTAATTAAAAAACACCGTGATTGAAGACACTTGCTTGCCATATAACAGTACAGACTGGAGGTATAGAACTCTGGATTCAGGGTCAAGCAGCACTTATTTTATATCCTATCCCTGTTACCATCAATGACATGTGGTGAGCTACTTAATTTTTATGAGCCTTAATTATTTTAGCCAATAGACATGAACATATCAAACTCATAGCACTGTGAGGATTTAACATTTCACTAATAACAACAAATATATAAGGGGCTTAGTATTGAAACTAAAAAAAGATGTGCAACTATGAAAAAAGTCCTTCACTGGAGGACATTTGAAAAGGCCAACATAAAGGGAAAGATGAAACCATTTTCAAAGATAACATTTAATATTGCAAAGCTGTCAGTCATCTTCAAATTAATCTATTTGAATGAAATTCAAATTACAATATCATCTGAGTATTTTTTATAGTATTTAGGTTTGTGACTATATTTGAAAATCCAGGAAAATGGAAAAATTTTCCATGAAATATCCCATTTCAGTCATTGTTGTTTTCTTTCTAAAAGTTTTTTTAAAAATTGAAGTATCATTGATTATGACACTGTATAAGTTTCAGCTGTGCAACATTAAAAATCAACACTACGTTAAATTCACTATTACAAGTCCAAAATATCCTTCACCATACAATTGTCTGCTTTTACTTGATTGACTCTGCTTCCCCTTCTGGTAACCACTAATTGGTCCTGTAGACTAAAAGTTTGTTTTTATTTGTTTATCAATTGGAATTTTTTTTAAATTTATTTATTTATACAAGAACTGGGGTACAGGCCACATGCGCAGGAGGGTGAGAGGACTCACCAGAGACAGAGCTGGGAACAGAACAGGCAGACTGATGAAACACACTGCTGAGGGGAGCAGGGGGCGAGACAGGCGAGGTCTGTGTGCCATGTGGGACCCTCTATGGCCGGCTGGGATCGAACAGGGGCTGCAGAGACTGCGAAGAGCTTCACAGCATGTCGCTCAACTACCTGCGCCACCAGGGGAGGCCCTGGGACTTTTTTGAACTTGACAATCTAAAATTTATGTAAAGGAAAGGGGCTAAGAATAGCTTAGATAACTCTGAAAGAGAAGAATCAGATGGAGGGAGCCACTCAACCAGAGAACAAAACTTAATATAAAACTATAGTAGCTAAAGCAGTGTGTTGGACATATGGATGGACATGTGGGACAGACTAGAGTGCTCAGAAAGTGGTCCACACATATTTGGGGATTTGATATATAACAGTAGTGTCATTACAAATTAATAGAAAAACACATGACCTAATCAATAAATGGTCTGATAATAATTGACTATCCAAATGGAAAAACTATACTCACACAATTATAACTCTTCTTTATTTCAGACACAAACTTGAATTACTTGCAGGTTGATTAATGATTTAATGATGTAAAGCAAGACTAATAATTTTGAGATATAGAGAAGATTTTCTTGATCTCACTACAGGGAATAATGTGTTAAAGAAAGCCCCATTAACCAAAACCATAAAGTAAAAGATGTTGATAAACTTCATTACATTAAAATTTAAAACTTCTGTGAATGAAAAGATACCATAAAGTGAGAAGACGAGACACAGATTGGGGGAAAGCATTATTTTGGCACATACATAGTTGAAAAAGTATTTAGATCAGAAAAAATGTATTATTCTCATAAATGAAAAGAAGGATAACACAAGAGAAAAAAATACCACTAGCTAATTAGACATATCTAAGGTGCTCATCCTTGGCACTTAACAGTAAAAACAAATTTAAAAATGAGATAGTATTTTAAACCACTGGCTTGAGTGTGAAGATACTTGGTGAAGAAGAGGTAGGAACTCTCCTTTATTGTGGGTGGGAGTTGATGACGAGCCCAGCACCACTGGAGGACAATTTGGTACGATCTCATAAAGCTAACAGGAAGATTGTTAAAGCCACAAATCTACTCCTGTGCATTTGTCCTGGAAATGCTTTAGTGCCCGAGCCCAAGGAGAAAATTATGTCGACTTTATTGAAGTTCTTCTTGTAAAGGCAAAAAATTGGAAACAACTTAGATGCCCATTACACAGCAGAGTAGGAAAAAATGCATTTCCTCATAGTGCTGAATACAACAGTTAAAATGAATGGATAATAACTGCACATATAAGCCCCTTAGAAACTGTTATGTTTTAAAAAGGCAACTGTGAAAGATATATAATATGAACAACCTAATACCATTTATAAAATCTTCTGACCTGCAAAATATTATTAAAAATGTTTCTTTATATTTGTATATGAACTGAAAATTATATGGGCATATAAATAACAAACACCAAATTTAGGATAGTAGCTACATCTGGACAGGTATATTAAAACCACATAAAAATGGTTTAAATAACATCTGCAGTGTTTAAGAACTTAAACTCAGTAGCAGATACTTTTTAAATAATAGTCTCTAGAATTTCCATGTCTGAAAAGTCTAGAAGATAATGTAGATCAAGCAAACAGCACATATTAAAATGACTGTGATTATAAGAGGATTGAAATACTTCTAATACAGATTCTGATAGTAAATATTTATCCTAGAGAGGAAATTAAAATAAATTACCTTAAAAGTCTCTTGAACCAACTGAAATCTATGCTTGTAATGCAAGCAACCCACACCGGGTAGGTTCTTTACCGGTTCTAGCAGCCGTGTTGTCCTCATGCTCTCCGCTGTGTGTCGTTGCCATACTCCGTCAGGCTCCACCACTCTCCGCCGCACTCCTCCATTCTCTGCACCCCACCACCACACTGCACCCCGCTGCACCCCCCTTATAAGCCCCCGCCGTGGCCCAGGTGAAAACCATCTACATAATGCCCACACCCTACTCCAGGTGCATTCAGGGCCGCAAGGATCTATCATTATGCGTAATGGTGGGAGGGCAGAAAAGCCTGATACCTTTTCACTTACCCTACTCTTTTATTAATATGTCTACATATTTATTATTATTTTTATTAATATGTCTACAGAACAAATTAATCAAACAATAGCTTTTACTGGGTACTTATTAGGGGCCTGGCAATGAGGTTACTTTGCTTTACATCACTGTATTTTAGAAGTATAGGGACTTCACCCCTTTCTGGTGTTGTTACGACAGCGCTCCCACCACGACATCAGTCATAGTCCACCATTATCATCTGTTGTGCTTCCTCCCACTTTATTTTCACCCTTCCTGCTCCCCCTCTGGTTGCCTCAGTTCTTTCATTTTCTCCCAAATTATGTTTATTAAATTATGTAAAGTCAGTTTATATCTTTGATCTGTTCCAGGAGTTATAGGTTCAAACCTCTATAAATGTATACTCTCATAGCTGCCCACCACCAGGTCCAAAACAACCCCTACCATGTTCCTTTGGGACTCTTTGTTCCCCACTTCCACCCGCCACGCTTCCTCTTTGGTTGCCTTAGCTTTGTGGTCCACTGTTAAGAGTTTATTCTTGCTTTGGTTTTGACTGACTCTCTGTTACGTTTCTCTTTATTCCACAAACAAGTGAGACCATCCAGTATTTGCAGATGCCTGGGTTTTGACTAATGGAATATGGGGGCCTCTCCAATCCTTGTCACAGATCTCCTGAGCAATTGTCCTTCCTCCCCAGGTCTTTGCCAAGCATTCTAAGAGGCAGCATCACACAAGGGAAGGAGCCTTAATTGCTGAATCACTATTTGGAGCAGATCCTCAGGGAGCCCTTTAACCTATGATGAGAGTGAGAAGTAAACTTTTACAGCAACAGCATTAAGCTAATGTGATCTGGGAGTATATTTTATCATGTAACAAAATCTAGCACATTGTGACTAATAGAGGCAATTCCAAAAATCAGTTTCCAAAACTGGTTGAAGCAATTCTGGCAGTGTCACAATCAATCCATAGTCCCTTAGGATGTCAGTGAAGGACCTTCCGTGTCAAGTATGTGATGTTGGTGGTTTTACTTAAATTACTATCATTTAGAGTAATATCAACTATTAGATATTACTCTATTAGAATCACATAATGGGGCCCCCCTGGTGGCACAGGCTGTTGAGCGCAGTGCTGTGAAGCTGTCCTCAGCCTCTGCAGTGCCGGTTCGATCCCCGCTGGCCTTGGAGCAACCCACATGGCGAGCAGACCTCTCCAATCTCGCCCATTGCTCCCCTCAATAGTGTATTTTGTCAGTCTGCCTGTTCTGTTCCCCGCTCTGTCTCTGGTGAATCCTCTGGCCCGTACCCCGGCTCTTGTATAAATAAAAATTTTTTTTTTAAATCTTAAAAAAAAAAAAAGAATCACATGATGCAGTGTTATACGTAAAATATTTGTGTGCTGAAAGTTAGATCCCTCCTGAGAAAGCTGGGCCTTGAAGTCAGGTTAGGATTTGAGTGGGCAAGGAAGAGAGAGAATATTTCAGGTATAAGAGAAGTGAAAGCACATGAAAAAAAAGTCCTCTGATGAGGGTGGGGAGAGGAAGAGGCTCATTAAAAAGGGGAAGAAATACTCCCTCCCTGCTCCCCACCTCCCCTTAATACCTAAAGCAAACAAGTATGAGTCTCTAGATCTTACAATCATTTTCTGGTTTTGAGAGACACAGATGTCACTTAGTATCTACCTACTTCAGAAGTCTATGAGTATTTCAATTTTTCTTTTTTTTAAGAGCAAAGAGGCTTCCAGAAGTCACAATACCAATAACTAGTGTTTCTTGAGTATTTAACATGTTCCAGGAAATGAACTCAGTACTTTAAACAAGGACACAGCATCAGTGTCCCCTGGGGCTTGTTGGAAATACAGAAAGTTAGACCCCATCTCAGGCATACTGGTGCACTGCCTCCATTTATTGAGATCCTTGCTTGTTTTGCATATGTATTTAAATTTGTATACGTGCTAAGGTTTGAAAAGCACTGATGCATGAATGCTGTATCTCAAATCCCAAAAACATTCTCTGATTTCATTTATGTCTCTCTTACTTCAAAAACCTGCAAGCTTTTCATATTATCATTTAAAGCAGAGACTTTGGAAGGCATCATCCCAGCAGGTAGTATTTACTGAGTCTTTAGCATGGTCTGAAAAAAACAAAAACAAAAACAAAAACACAGGTATTATTATTAACTCTATTTCAATAGAAAATGAAACAAGGCTTTCAGAGATTAAGAAATTTATCTGAGGGCCTCCCCGGTGGCGCAGCGGTTGAGCGCTGGGTTGCGAAGCTGCCCGCGGCCTCTGCGGCGCCGGTTCGATCCCCAGCTGCTCCCCGGCCACCGGAGGAGGGTCCCACATGGCGCGCAGACCTCTCCTGCCGCCCGCTGCTCCCCTCAGCAGTGTACTTCGGTCCTTCTGCCTGTTCTGCTCCCCGCTCTGGCTCTGGTGAATTCTCTCGCCCTCCCGCGCTTCTGACTGTACCCAGTGCATGTATAAACAAAACAAACAAACAAATAAATAAATAAAACATGCCTCTATTTAAAAAAAAAAAAAAAAAGAAATTTATCTGAAAATACAAGCTAGTATTAAATACATTATAAATGGGGATGGGATTTAACCTGTGCCCAAGTGACACCAGAATCTGAGCTTTTTCATGCCACACTGGCTGTCTCCTTGTGCTGTGAGAAGCATCGTGCGCAGAAATTAGGTCCAGCAGTGACAGACCAACCTGACTGGAAGAACACACTAAATGGGAAAAATGGCAGAGTAACCTGAGGCATCTGGAAAAGAGACTGAAAGGAAATCCTTGTAAAGGTGACCTAATGAATAAATGTGTATTAAACTACAAAGTAACATATTCATACACAGGCAAATGTACCAGACTTGTTTTTTAAATATGTAATATGAATGTTGTCTAAGAGATTCAGCAAGCGAAGTCTAAAGGCTGATGTATCTCGTTCTAAGGGGGAATTAATTATTTAGTTATGTCCTAATTTATTATCTTTATTCAGCCAACAAGAATTAGGGGTTTCTTGAACATGACACAATAGAGAATGAAATGAAAGGATTGTGACTTTTCCTGTTGCAAACCATTTTGGTTGCCGAGACACCTCGCTATGAGAGTTTACCACAGTGGTTCTCAACCCTAGCATGCACGAGCTTTATCTGCAGGACTTGTAAACACAGATTCTGGGCCCCATCTCCAGTTTTTCCAATTCAGTAGGTCTGGGGAGAGATCCCAAGGTTTTTGTTTCTAGTAAATTTCCACATAATATTTATGCTGCTGGTCTGGGGACCACAACTTAAGGACCACAAGGGTAGTATGTTCTAGATGGATGTGAAACCCCAGATACTAGGTTTCAAGTTCCAGTAGGAAAGAGAAACCTTTCTCTGGTCAAAGGAAATTAAACATGGTGACTGAACATCAAGGTTTTCTACACTGCAGGGCTTCTTCAGGCTAAAATTTCTTGTGTTTTTTGTTTGTTTGTTTGTTTTTCTGATCCAACACTCTTGCCTTCAGCTGGATTTTAAGAAAGGTTGAGGAAGGTCTAAGTTTGCTTTCAGGGGCCCTCTTCCTGCCTCTCTTTTGTGTGTCTGCTTCTCCTGTAGCCCATTCCTTGTGTCTTTCCTCTCATGCCCACCCTCAGCCATTCCATCAACATCTGTACCTCAGATACTGGGTTCATTTTATCTCTAATATTCAGAATAACTCCACAATATTATTGGTATTATGCAGATGAAAAACTGATGCCCAAAGCAGTTAAATAATTTACAAAACCCCCTCAAAACCAGTAGGTAGTGAAGTTGGGTTCAAATTCAAGTTCATCTGACCATAGGTCTCATCCTTACTTCTTGGCACCACTCACAATGGGGCAGTGGTTGCCCGTTAGCATTATTCTGATGTCTGTAGCCCACCTCAGATCCTTGAAATCAGAACTTCAGAATGAGGTCCTAGGCAGTGGTATTTTTATAGGAGTTTTCTAGGTGACTCGAATGTGTTGTCAGGACTGATAACCACTGCTTAATAGCTGTGTGACTCCATTAGGATATGTGTGTGTGTCTATGTGTGTGTGTGTGTAAGTCTATGTGTATATGTATATTATATATATGTATATATTATGTGTATATGTATATATGTATATGAATAATATTGCCCCCACAGTTGCTTTCACAGATCTTGGGATATCTCCTAGGCCTCCTGAAATGGTTCTCTGACATTGACCCAAAGGAATGGTGGGTTGATCCCCCTATTCACATATTTGAAGGAATAATTTCAGATTATCCCCAGCAGGAGTACCTTTGTCTAAGCCATCCAAAAGCTATTTTAACATGTGGGAAGATTATAATCCTGAAATACACAATTTTCGCAGGACAGTAACTAGATTTAATTGTAGAAGTGGAAACTCAAGCTCTATGCATTGTCTACTCTTTAAAAGAAAAAGGGTCATGATGGTTAGTTAACTTTCTGTAAATAAGAGTTTCTTATTATTAAAATATTCACTTTACCTTTTGGTAAACTCTGTTCTGTTGATCAGGATTCACCAGTTTCTGGGAGAAGTCACTGTGTGATTCTGAGCATGATGAATAAGTAGCTGGTGTTCTTGTTATTTCTCCTTTTACCTTGACTCCAAATGAAGTGAAAGACCTAAAGTTTTCTTATCAGTCTGAGAATGATTCTGTACATCTAGGTAAGCAATTAGCTAAATTGTCCCTCAAGGAATACTGGGCAAATGTCGCACGATCAGGAGAAAATAAGATATTGGAGAATCTGAGGGCTTTAGAATCACACAAAAATAAATTCAGATTCTCGTTTTGCCCTTATTAACTGTGTGAACTTGGACAAATTTAATGTCTCCAAATTCTCGTTTTTATCAGAAAAGGGTGGCTTGGGATATCTACCTAGATCAGTTGTTGTAAAGCTTACCATAGAGCACAGAGTGGACAGTCAGTCTATGAACAACAGTTATTAGTATGTGCAATAAGATGCTGGGGGACTTAGATTTTTACTTCAAACCTGGACAATTCCACCTGCTTGTCTCCCTAGAATTTTCCACTCTATGTGTTGGAGTTAAATTTACCCTTCACATTAGTTTTCTATCTCAGTGCATTGGAACATCACCACTTGATCTCCCTAAGTAGTGAGAGACTTTGAGTCAACCTCAGTCTCCTCTTTTTCACTGTTCCCTCTATCCATCACAAAAGTGTGTTTTTGTTCTGGGTTTCCTAACTCCATCTCTCCTCTGTTTCCACAGGCTTCTTTTGCCTGAACAACTGGCAAAGCATTAGTTAAGGGACACATTCCTGAACAATCTTCTCTGCCTCTCACCCTCTGAGCCCATCTTACATGCTGCTGACAAAGATATTTTTTGAGCACACATCTTTGATGGATTGCCATTGCTTCAGAACAAAATGTAAATCCTATGCATGGAAAATGAATAATTTATAGTCTGCCTCGTATGACTAGTAGCCTAATTTCCAACACTCTCTGTCCTGCCACTATTCCAGTGTTATTCAGTCCAACAAAATTTTCCACATTCCATAAATACATCCTTCAGAATTCAGCTACAGTCCTTTTATGTGTCCTGTTTCCTATACCTGGCATTTCTTTTCCTTCCTCTTCTGTTCCACCTATTCAAATCCTACAAAAGCCATTTCCATTACTATGATCTCAGTGCTCTCTTCCACAGACCTCCAATCACAAAGAATTGTTTCCATAACACCCCTGCCTCATGGTTTAAAAATCACCATGTAGTGTGGGCACGATCATTGTCTGAACATGTTTATCTCCAGTTTCAAATTTCTAAAAAGTCTGATATACAGGGTCCAAGTCTTATACTTTCTCTTATTCCAGACTAGGTGGAGTCCAAGTATTATTGGGAATCAAGTGATCACAGTAGATTGTGACCACGTGAGGACCAGGAACCCATCTCTTTCATTCACCACTGTATCCCAGTTCATGGGACAGTGTAGGTGCTCAATAAGCATTAGTTAAATCAGTGAATGAATAAATGAAAGAAATTTAAAAAGAAACTCTATAATCTAGAGTGCTGTTTAATAATTTGCATTTGACCTTTATAGTCATTCATAATTTTATCTGATATTGGATCTATTTTTAAGCAGGGTTAAAGTTGCCTTTTATGTCAAAAAACAATGGAATATAAAACCTTCTCCCAAAACTGCAATGTTAATCATGATGAAGACAAGGTAGCTAAGACTACACACACACACACACAATTTGTATGAGCTAAGGTATCATACAAATTGAAGAAGTTATTTTCCTATAATGAGTAACTAGCAGGAGGGAGTTTTGCAGAACCCTTTTTAGAAAGGCAAAGTCTCTTCAATGAAGAAAATGCTGCATTTTATGTGAGCTAATAGCAATAGTTGGTACAGATTCTTAGATTTTCCTATTAATAATGTTGCAAAAAAGCAAACCCTCAGTGAACTCCTGAGACACACAAAAAAAACAGTGACTATAGAATCACATGAACAGAACCTGGATCATGGAAGAAGAAAAAAATCTGGTTGGGGAAAGAATTAAGACAATCTTCAGGCAGGCCATCCTTAAGTTCTTCAAGGATGATGGACCTCAACTTAGTATCAGAAACTCACCAATCACATGAGCTTAAAATGTGATGGGCCACAGAGGGGCAAGCTCAGACTGTCTGGCTCAACAATAGGAAGTACTACAGGGGTCATTGTCCAAGATCCCTCACCCTCAGACACCAAGGAGGTGAGCATTATCAGGCCCATGTCACAGACTTTCCTTTTCTATGTTTTAATGGCCAAGCATTATGTGACTGTGTATGTCCCACAGAAGGTGGCATTCTTTCTCTAAACATTATTGTGATTACATATCATCTTTCCTTTTTCTTCCTAAATTAAAGAAACATGTTACCGGTGTGCTGGCCTTCATATGCTTTATCCTATCTTTTCTTTCTCTTATCTTTAATAGTCAAATTACAGTGATATTGATGCCCCAAGGGTCATATCTGCGTTTCCACATGTCTCCTCCATTGGAATCCCCTCTGCCTTAAGCAAAGTAGTTCACCTGACCACAGTGGTGACCTCATGCTGCAGATGAGGTGGTCATCGTTCACTTCCCTGGCCATAGCAGTTGTGCAAGGAAAGAGAGGAAAGTCAGACAATTTGAGTCCTTACCTGTGCTTTTCAAAATGAGTTGAGAGGAAACTTTATTTCTTGCTCAGTTAGGTTGCTGTATATAAGCTAAGAACTGCCAACATCCATGGTTCTAGCCTGGTAAGAGGAGAGACTGAATCCAACAGCCAAAGAGAAGTGGAGAGGGAGGGGGAGAGAGAGAGAGAGAGAGAGAGAGAGAGAGAGAGTGACACAGAGCACCTGATTCTAGCATCCCCAGATACAGTCTTCTTCTGGTGCAAAGGATTTGACTAAATCCACACCCCCATCAACTTTGTTTCCTCTTAATTTGTCTTCATTTAGATATCTGTCTCTTGTAGCCAAAAAGAATTCCATTAAATATATGATCTATTGTGTCTTGATTTAAATCTGGGAAGACAATTTTCTTCCTTTTTATTTGCTGAATTAACAACGTCAGAGAACAATCCACTCTCTCTCATTTGTCACAACTACACTCCTTACATTCTAGCCCTTGTAATGCCAGGGCCCAACATTTCTTCCAGGCTTTTGTGCTTCCTGATCCCTCTGCCTGGAAGGACTTTCTTCATCAACATTTGTACCTGGCATATTCTCAGTATTTGAGTCTCACTCAAAAGCCACGTTCTCATATAGGCTTTCCCTGACCACCTTAAAAAATGTCCTCTCCGATAAGTTTGTGTGTGTGTGTATCTCTGTGTGAGTATGTCCCTGTTTATTTCCTTTACAACATGTATCCAAATATGCATTATTACAGAAGGTAAAAGTCACAGAAGGTGAGCTTTATGAGGGCAGGAGCCTCGTCTGGCACTCATTGCTTGATCCTAGAGCCTGGCATGGTACCCAGCTCATAGTAAATTTTCAACATTTGCAAAATGTTAAATTCATGTGTCACTGCAATTGATACATGTAATTATTGTCAAGGTAACTGTGTATCACCAACTGTAAGTAATTTTATGTACTTTTTATGCAGTGGTATGTCTCAGTCATTCTGAGACATTCTTTGTCCTCCCAGAAGTTTTGAGTAAGAACTTTCCTTTGGATATTTTTCACACATCTATAGAGAAACCCTACCCACGGTTACAGGTAGAATTATGCTGGCAGGCACTCATAAACATTGCTGCCTCCCACCTAGAAGAGTTTGAAGCAAAGCTATAAATCCAAAAGCCTTGATGAGGGCATTATCTGTTGCTGTTTTTTGTTCAGACACTAGGTGGCAGATGACCTTGTTCTTGGAAAAAAACCTGGGTAATTAGCATTACAGTGCTTACCAAATGCTGGCTAGCTTTCTCCAGTGACAGGAAATGTCAAAAGGGATTTTAATCACTTGATAGGATGGCAAGAGTTATGATCAGGGCTTTAGACTTGGTCTATGAAGAGTGACATATATTTGAAATATTACTTTTAGATTCACAAAGGAAAGGTGAAACAGGAATATTAAAAAGCTGATCAACTGGAAAGATTAATGTCATCTTCAAGTACAATAAGATGGATAATTTCTATACAATGAAGCTAAAATTGGTGTTTTCGGACCTCCCCAGTGGTGCAAGGGATTAAGCATCACACTATGAAGCAATCCACAGCCTCTGCAGCACCAGTTCGAGCCCCGGCCAGCCAGGGAGAAACCCACATGGCGCAGCAGACCTCTCCTGTCTCCCCTGCTGTTCCCCTCAGCAGTGTATTTCAGTCAGTCTGCCTGTTCTGTTCCCCGCTCTGTCTCTGGTGAATCCTCTCCCCCCAACCCCGCATCTCCCAGCTCTTGTATGCATAAATAAATAAATCTTTAAAAAAAATTGGTGTTTTCACTGCAATAAGAGATCTGAATCTTTTGTATTAACAGTGCATTGTATTGGGCCTCCCCGGTGGCGCAGCGGTTGAGCGCTGGGTTGCGAAGCTGACCACAGTCTCTGCAGCGCTGGTTCAATCCCCGGCTGCTCCCCGGCCACCTGAGGAGGGTCCCACATGGCGCGCAGACCTCTCCTGCCGCCCGCTGCTCCCCTCAGCAGTGTACTTCGGTCCTTCTGCCTGTTCTGCTCCCTGCTCTGGCTCTGGTGAATTCTCTCACCCTCCTGCGCTTCTGACTGTACCCAGTGCTTGTATAAATAAATAAAAATAAATCTTTAAAAAAAAAAACAAAAACCAGTGCATTGTATTGTAGTTTAGTAAATAATTGTATCTTTCTTTTCTCTTTTCAGCTTAAACACCAGGAAGATTTTTATAAAAAATATGTCAAATATAAACTATAAGATAATCTATTATTTCCCTGGTAACCTTCCATGCAGAGTCCTGGGCTTGGGGATCCTTTATTTTCTGTCTAGTTCACAGAATGTTGGAGCAATCAATTGAGGGAGAGCAGATTATTTAGTTATTTCCTTTAATTAAATACAACAGAAACGCTCAAGTCACTTGCTTTTGAACACTGAAAATAGAACACAAACTATGATAAGCACAATAAATTCTAATAAATATATTTCCTTTCTGGGTTGTGGTCTTTAAAGTGTGGTAATGAAGAAAGTAATAGGAAGAGTATGGGAAGAAAAGAAACCAGGAAGATGGGCGGGCACAGGGGAGTAGGAGAATGAGAAATACTAGAAGGAATGGGAAGGAGACATTGGCACAAAAGGAAGAGACAAGAAAGAGAAAGGAAAGGGAAGAGGCAGAGAGAGACAGAGTCACAGCAGAGATAAATGGAGAGGGGGACATGCAAGTAGACTCATAAAATCAAAGAAAAGCAGAAGCAACACACAGAAAAACTGAAGTTCAGAGAAAAAGGGGCAGGAAAGAGGTTTACTGGGTTTTGAGCTGTTTTCTTCTAGGACTACTTAATCTTTAATCTTCAGAATAAAATGGCCTACTATTTGCTGCCCTTTAAAATGTTTATTAATCAATGAATCACTGTTTTCTTCTCTTTAACTGCTCTAATATTTACATCATAGAAATTTGTTTTTCAAATAAATGTGCGTCAACCCTTTCAGGGTGCAAGAAGAGGCTCAGATTTACTCAGGTGGTTAGAGTGTGTGGAAAGGAAGTAGAGAAATCAGGCACCATAAATACCCAGGTCTTTCAGAAAACTAGCACCTGAGCAATCTTTACGTAAGAACATAGTCTTAGCCACAAGGAGTCCCAGCACTAGGTTAGCACCAGAAATCTCCTCTTTCTTTCGTTTTTCTCCATTCCTGTCACTTGACTTTCCATCTTTGCTTCCACAGCTCTTCCCACTATTAATTAATTTCTCTCTGTCTCTGAACTCAAAATTGGTAAGACAGAAGATCCATGCTTGGCCAGTCACTACCATTGGATGACCTTTCTGGAAAGAGCTCTAATTGAGGCTACAGCAGAGACTGGCTGCCCTTGAGTTAGGTGTCTCCCCATGGTTCAGTCAAATCTGATCAGGTAGAAAGACTATCGGGGTACAGTGTAAATGTGAGAGATGTTTCTATGTTAGCGTGTGTGTGGCAGTTATGCTGACTGGAGAAAATAAAACTGAAAACCACATTAGCTGCTGGAACAATACATTCCCCTCTTGCCCAGCAAACACCACACACTTTTCTTCTTGGGCATTTGGCTTCACCAGTGTCCAGTCAACCTAATTAAACCTCTGCATGTACTCATCAATCCCAAGTCAGGTTTCATCACTGTATCTAGAAGACTATATGAATCACTTCAAACTTGCAGTATGAAGTCATTGGCCTTTGAGGATTTTTTTTTTTTAACCCAAGCCCAATGAATAAAATCAAAGAGATGATGGTGGGGCACTCAGAGAGGGGGAGTCCCAGCATGTGCAAACATTTCTGTATCTTCGTGGGGTCTGGCTTGAAGTTATCAGATTTTGAGGGGTCACTACCGGATTAGGTAAATAGATGTCAGTGGCATCCATGGGCATGTGGCATCTGGGGTGCTGGGAGACCCCAGTGTTTGTGGATGCCATCTAAGACTTGCAGGTTTTCATCAAACTTGAGTAGAGAACCAGATCCAATATTATCTCAGATGAGTTTCCTTAAAACTTGGTTAGATGGATGTTTGAATTCACACTTCATTTAATTTATAGAAAACAAAGAAATGGATTTCTTTGATTCTTGAGTTTAGCGACTAGAAATCACACCATCTACACTGATTTAAGCACTCAGGGCAACAATGATTACAATCAAACTGAGGACAGATTGAGACACTAACCAACAGATCCCTCTTCTTTCCAACACCCTAAATTAAGGAATTTCCTGATCAAATTATGGTTTTGACATTTGTAAAATATAAGATGCTTTTGTCTAATAATTTAAAATTTTTCTATACACATAGCCATAACTCTAAAAGCCTCACAGAAGTTGTGTATCAGTGATTGCCTTCATCATCTTGAACTGTTCTGACAAAAATTCCATAGAATTTAGGAAGCCTATAAATAACAGAAGTTTATTCCCCTCTAGTACTACAGCTAGAAATCCAAGATCAGGGAGCCAGTATGTTCAGATTCAAATGAGTACCTTCTTCTGGGGTGGAGATAATCGGCCGCTAGGTACGTCATCATATGGCAGAGAGCAGGAAGGAGAAGCAAGCACTCTTGTGATTCTCAGGACACTGCTTTAATTGATCAAAACCCAGAAGTGGGGCACTGCTCATTGGTTGGTCCTGTGGCGCCCAGTCCATGTGGTTCAGCTCAGAGGCGGAAGAGAGGAAGCATGGAAGTAGAGCTAGGTGGTTGCAAGTCCTCCCAAAGAAATCAAGGCTGTAGCCCTAGAGAAAGCGCAGCTGGGACAGGAGCTTTTTCTTGAGGGCTTGGGGTGGGTAGGATGTGCCAGTCCTGTTGGGTCCTGGAGGTGGCAGAGGCTGAGTGTAGGAACTGTTTGGCTTGTAGGTAGATTTGGGGCCCTGTCTCTACTTGCATGGAGTTATGGGAAAAGGCAATTACAGTCTCTTCTCATGTATTTGGGACAAAAGGAAATCAACAGCAAAGAGAATATATTTTCCTTTCCTTTGACTCTTAGCTTCCATCAGGAGACGAGACTGTTTATAGAATTGGCGCTATGGTTTTGCTGTGTTTAAGCAGCAAGTTCAACCACTTCTCACCCACCAAGCTGTACCTGTTCTTATTACAATGAATTTCCATAAAATCAGTCTCTAGGCATAGAATTTCTGGGGCATGTGGAGGGAGGGCAGAGATGCCCCATCAATGAGCGAGCTGACTTTATTGCTGCCATCCCCTTCCTGCAGCTCTCCCCTTGCCCCTCCTTCTCGTTCCCTTCCCTCCGGATGCCCACTGGGATGAGTCAATACTGGTGCTGAACCACATAACCACTTTGATCTCACTTTATCCATTTATAGAGGGATGATGTCTACTTAGAAGGATTACACTGAGGCCTGAATAAAAGCATATATGAATCTCCTTGCAGAGAGGAGGCTCTCGGTAATTATTTAGTATGAAATAAAGAAGAAAGGAAGAAGACAGTGGCTTAAGTGTTACACGGTTCATGGAAAAATAAATCACTCGATGGAAGGTTTATTGGGTGGTAGGATGTGAGGAGGGTGAGTCAGAGCAAACTAATGAAGGAGTGTGATGTTGGAAGGTTCAGCCTGTCACTGCTGCTGCTGCAGACACTATTTGAAAGAGATATAAGACAATCTCTAGTCAGTGGTAATTAGAGGAGCTCCCTAGGCACTTTATGTAGCCGGGATGGTGCCCTTTGTGTCCTGCTTGAAACCAATTCCAGTTTGCA